TGGGGTGAGAGATGGGGAGGAAGATGGGGTGAGAGATGGGAGGAAGATGGGGTGAGAGATGGGGTGAGAGATGGGAGGAAGATGGGGTGAGAGATGGGGTGAGAGATGGGAGGAAGATGGGGAGGAAGATGGGGTGAGAGATGAGAGGAAGATGGGGTGAGAGATGAGAGGAAGATGGGGAGAGGGATGGGAAGATGGGGTGAGAGATGGGAAGATGGGGTGAGAGATGGGAAGATGGGGTGAGAGATGGGAGGAAGATGGGGTGAGAGATGGGAGAAGATGGGGAGAGAGATGGGAGGAAGATGGGGTGAGAGATGGGAGGAAGGAGGCAAAAATCTGGCAAGCAGGTGAGAGGCTCCTCGCACAGAATGACAGAATCCTGAAGGGAGAGACAGGCCTTTCAGTGTGCTCTTGGAAACCCCAAGAACAAAGGAGGTTTTCTGATGTTTAAAGGCTAATTTTAGGGGGCAGCAGGTTGGAGGGAAGTTGCATGCCCTACGATTCCAGCTGGCTTAGTCTGCCTACCAAGGGGCACAGGCTATAAACTTACCCTGCAGTTGCAAAGGGGTGGAACTGGTCTTCCTCACTTCCTCACAAAAGTGGTATGAAGTAAACTGCGGGAGACCAGCAGAGACTGCAGGGCATGTGGCCTGCTTTCCGGAGGCGAGGAAAGGCAGCTAGAGGGCTGTGATAAGTCGCTCCCCCAGGGTCATCCCCGGGCCCACGGTAACCCCCAATTAGAACTGACCAACAGTTGGGGAGGAGCTGCAGGCTCACTCAGGAATATGGCTTCCCTTTCCTCCTTACTGACCCCACCACGAGGGAGAGGCCTACATGGCTGAGGGAAGCCTTCCTTCTCTCCTGCCCTGGGCATGTTGGACAAGCAGGCCTGGTCTGTCCTACAGTATTGCAGGTTTATCTGCAAGACTGTCCCAAAGGGCTTGTGGAGACCCAGCAACAGTGAAATCCTTTGCCTGCCCCTCGGATGGGCCTCAGGAAGCTACATAGCACCCCCAGCTAGCCCTGCCCTCAGCTTCCAGCCTTCCAGGCTGTGACCTCCACCACCCCTCTGCTTACACCCCCATCACCACCACCTTGCTTTCTGCCTGTCCTACTCAGCCTAGGATGTCATGGGCCATACAATAGCACACAATCCATGAGCCATAGGGTCCCACAAGCCTGTCCTCTTTCTGGTCCTCACTCTTGGCCTAGGCATTTTGTCTTAGGAGGCCCTTCCTGGTCTTGGTGCTACCTGTTGATAGAACCCCCCTAAACCTAGGGCTAGCTGCCTAGAAGGGTCTGTGAGGGATGGCGGCACACAGGAGAAGGATGAGTAGGGTTCACATCCCTCAGGAGAACGGAAGACAGACCTGCCAGCCTCCCCAGGGGCTCTGAATCTGCTCCTGTCCCCTGTCCCTCCCAGAAGAGGGGCATGTTATAGGGAGGTAGGAGATGGGCCATGCAGAGGTCCACATGGCATAAGGAGTGTCAGCCCCAGCTTCACAAGCTGCAGTGGGGTTTAAGATGTTTACATTAGCAAGTGAACACATTTAGCACACCCCAAAATGTAATTGTGCCCTTCCCAGGTTTTGACAGTGTGCATGGAAGAGGTCCCTCAGGCCATGGTGTGCACCACAGTGTGCCCAGCGCAGACCCAGGCTGGAATTGGATGCCAGCTGCTCCTTTCCAGAGTGCCATGCCTGGGCTACAGCTGGCACACCTTTGTGCCCTCTGGGGCTGTGGGTCCAGGCAGATGTCCTCCCTGGCTCCTTGCATGGGTTAGAACTGTTAGAAGGGCCTTTCTCTCATCTTAGGGCTGCAGCCTGCCCTGCTGTGTTTCCTTCCAGAGCTGGGGTTCCTGCCATGACCTCCTTCAGTGAGACTGTGATGTGGATGTGTAAGGGAAATAAACCCTTTCCTCCCTAAGTCGCTTTTGGTCATAGTGTTTACCACAGCAAGAGAAACCCTAACTAAATACATGTGTATGATATGTGCAAGTGTGTGTATGTGTATGTATGTGTGTGTGCGTGCGGCAGTGTGCATATGGAAGAAACAAGCCATGCTAGTCCTCACCGTCCACCTCATTCATGGGCAAGGTCTCTGGTGTTTGCCACTTTGTACAGCAGGCTAGCCCACGAGTTCCTGGTGATGCTGGTGTCTACTTCCCACCTCTCTGTAGGAGCACAGGGGTCACAGACACGTGCCACCATGCTCAGCTTTGCAGGGGTCCTAGGGACTTGAACTCAGTCTTCATGCTTGCCTGACAAGTATTATTTACCCAGTGAACCATCATCTCCTCAGCCCTCTGTGGGCTGATTGGCAGTTCCCCAGAAACTACCATGCATCCACTGTGAAGCATCTGTTCAGTTTTGTTTTTTGCCTATTTTTAACAAATAAGAAGTAGAGTTCTTTACTCTAGCCCTTTGTATATGAAAACATTTTCTCTTATTTATTTTTTTCAAGCATCAAACTTTTAATTCCTGTTAAAAGGCGAGTCTTTCTTTCTTTCTCATTTCTGGGTATCTTAGGTCTTCGCCTTCACTGGCTGCAAGCAGAATGCCTTATGCCTGTTGAGGCCTCATCTTGACCACAAAGAGCTCAGGGAGTCACAGCCCTTAGCCAGTTTTGTGTCCAGTGGCTGCACTGTCCACAGTGGGCGGGGGGGGGGCACCCATAGCAATCACTAATTAAGAAGACGCCCATAAGCTTGCCTCCAGTTGGAGGGATTTTCTCAGTTGAGGTTCCTCTTCCCTGGTCACTCTAACCGGTGTCAGTCAGGGAGACAAAACCAAACAAAACTAACCAACATAGATATTTTAAAAGCTTTATAGCCAGGCAGTGGTGGTGCACACCTTTAATCCTGTACTCAAGAGCCAGAGGCAGGTGGATCTCTGAGTTTGAGGCCAGCCTGGTCTACAGAGCAAGTTCCAGGACAGCCAGGACTACACAGAGAAAACCTGTCTTGAAAAACCAAAACTATCCAAACCAAACATGCAAACCAAACCTTTCTGGTGCCTTTCTCTTTAAAAAGGAATATAGAAACTTGCCATGGTGGGTTATGCCTATAACCCTAGACTTGACAGGCTAAGGCCGGAGGATTGCATTGCTTTGAGCTCAAGGCTAGCCTAGGCTAGAGAGTGAAACTCGGTAATTGTCCTGTGCCAGCACCAAGCATTACCATTTGAGCACATCTCTGCCAACTCACCATCTTTATTCATCCAGAAGACAACTGTGAGCCGTTTAGGCCAGTGCTGTCCTGGGTGCTATGTGAACCCCACTATTGGGCATGGCCAGGCTGCCCTAGTGGAGAAGTCCCCCATTGTCCCTAGGGGTTGGGTTTAGAAGACCTCAATGGTTTCATAGTCATCTTTGGGTGGCTTGCAGGAGCCTCTCCAAGGGCCAGGCAATGCCAGCAGCAGCCCCACTGGTCAGAACCAGTCCAGGAGCAACCATGATGAGCTCTACCTGCCCATCCACAGAGGATGCCACTCAGCGGCACCAAGGAAGGCTGAGCAGAAGATTCTGGCGCTCACCTTCCTCCGTCTTGGTCTGATGCCTCCAGCTACAACCCCCTCCTCACCGTCCCCTTCCTCCACTGGCTGCCCAGCCTTTTCTATATATGGTCTCCCCAGCTTGGCAGCTTGTTGGCTGTGTGACCCCAGGCAGACTTTTACCTCTGAGCTGTTTACCTCCTTTACTCACTGGCAGGAGTGAAGCATCATGGGAGTATTAGCTCTGGGTGGTCACACCGCTCAGGACAGGTGATTATGTAAATGTGCGTGTTGAATGGGCCAGTATGAGTAGCTGAATCATGCTGCAATTTCGATGGGTCCATCTCCCCAGCTCGGCTGCAGATCCAGGTCAAGAGCTCTTACAGGCAGCCAAGCTACCTACCCCATGAGGTCAGGCGCCACTCTGGTGGGGATCTGGGACCAGAGGGACAGTGCCCAATAGGACAGGTGGCAAGTTCTCTTGCTCTGACGGGACCTGTGTAGAAATAAGGGACAGTATGGGGACACTGCCACCCTAGCTCAAGAGAGGAAGTCACCTTCTATGTTGCTGTCCACATCCTTGACAGCCAGCACTGCTGTGAATGTTTGGCCAGACCTCCTGACTCCTACCAGCAAGCTGTCCCCTTCCTCAGCTCTGCAAGGTCTGACGGAGCCTTGTGCAACCCATTCTAGGAATTTTGGAAGGCTGACGGCCTAGCTTCAGGGCCAGCTCTCTGGGGGTAGCAGGGTCTCGGGACCTGCTGTGTTGACCTCAGGTCACCTCTCTGTAGGACTTTTGCCAGGAGTTACTGGGACAGAGGCCTGGCCTGAGGGGCCACCTCCTTCTTGGGGTGTGGCTGGAGCGGGTTCCCTCCCCCACTCACACCCTCGGGCTCCCCAGGGATACACAGAGGCATAATCTGGTAGTCTCTGTCCCTGCCTAGGTAACCTGGGTTGCTGGGGGAGAGCTGTTCTGAGTGACAGCTAGCTCCCTCGCCTTAGTGTGGTGTCTGCACCTGGCCTAAGTAGCATGGACAGTGGGACAGCACAGGGTGACATGTGCTCTCTCCTGCCAGCCCCCCAAGGGCTCCTGCCCTCACAAGCACAGCTTCTAGAGCACAGGGTACAGCTGGACAAGCCGACTGGGCCAGTGGTGCATGCTGCAAAGGTCAGGGGCTGGCCGGGCACGTGGAGGTGGAGGAGGAGGGGAGGGGGAGGAGGAGGAGGAGGAGGAGCCGCCCAGCTGATGCAGTCCTCCATCCACATTCAGCTTGCCCACTGGCTTTGGGAAAGGAAGAAACTTGAGATTTAGTCCCTTGAACAAGAAATAGGGTGTCAGTCCTCAGAGACAGGGCAGCTCTGCGGAGCGGAATCCCAAGTTGGGAGACATACACAGTGCTTGTGGGAGTGTATGCTTCTGTTGTCATGGAGGCTGTAGTTGGGAAATGTCATCTGTGGGCATCGTGGGGCAGCAGAACCCGAGTTAAGTGTCTCCCCTTCTCCACACAGATCTGGGACATGAGTGACGAGGAGACCGTCTGAGGCAACCACAGCTCAGGAGTGCTCGGCCCTCAGCGCAGGACTGTTCCCCGCGACTGGTGATCTGGGTCCTGCCACCTCCCTGGTTCTGATACCTACTCCCCCGAGGAGTAGGGGTACCCTCCGCTGCCCAGTTCCGCTCTTTGCCGCACCATCTCACCAGCTCGGAAGTCAATAATAACTGTGGCATTGCCACTGATCTGGGCTCAGGTCCTTCCACGTGCATTGATTTTTTTTTTCTTTCCCCTCCTGTTGTCAAAAGATTCCGGGGGGGATATTTTCACATTGGTGGGAAGCATCTGACCCAAACCAGCCCGAACAAGGGCGTCTAGGAGCCCCCCCCCCCCAGGGAGAACACCTCCAGGGGGCCCTGGGCAGCAGTGAGGGCTGAGCTTACTGCGCCTAGTGTTCAGGTGGAGCACCACACCGGCCCACCCTCTGCTGCGGGCATGTTGTGGTGCCACAGTGCTCCGGAGAAGCTGCCGCCACGGTGCTGGTGGGGAGCAGGGCGGAGCTGCCTGACTGGTGTGCAGCTGGCCCACAGGCAGCTGCTGCATTGGGGTTACTACTGGGGCAAGGCTAGCCTCCCTCTTCCTTCGGGTGGGTCCTTGGCAAGGGTGGCCACTTAGGAGAGGTACTGGCTTCCTAGCACTCGCCCTCCCACACTTACACACCTTCAACTTGGGTCTCCTGTCCAGAACAGGAGCCCAGACATGGCTGACTTTGGCAGATTTCAGTAAGGGAGACTTGAGAGGACCTTGGCCTAAAGTAGAGGCCGCAACAGGTAACCCTACCCACCTGCACGATGATTCCCAGAAGCAGCCAGGCCTGGGCACCACATGCCACCTTAGGACGCAAGAGCCACACAAAGCCTTGGTTTAAGAGCACTTTATTATTGTTCTTAAGGCTACTTTTAAGTACAAAAAAAAAAAAAAAGAAAGATGGCCTGCCAACCCTTTTTTTTTTCTTCTTCCAGGAAAAACAGGCCACAGAGAATGGTATGTTACAGATTTACAAACACAGAGAGGGCCAGTTCGCACATGGGTGGCTCGGTTCCGGGGAGATCCCACGCCCCTGCCCAGGCAGGAGGGCGCACTCCTTGGCTGACGTGTGTGGCAGTCCCCTCCGGGGCACAGCCTATTCCAGATAGGCCAGTGCACCCGAGACCCAGCCACCCCACCCCCACCCCAGCCCGCTCCCTGACGGGTGTCTGAGGCCTGTCGCCCACAGAGCCAGTCCGCGGTGAGGTGGTTTCTCCTGTGACCACCTCAGGAGCCTGCAGAGTAACAAACGAATGGCTAGCAAGGCGGACGCGGTGCTGTCATGGAGTAACTGTGGTCCTGCACGATTCCAGACACACCTACGACAAAAAGATCAACTTTTCCCAAACAACAACAAATGATCACGATGGGAAAGGGGAAATTAAATAGCTACATATCATTAACAAATTAATTGTTCTTCAAAAATACCTACAAATTTCTCTGTACATTCTTTACGCACAGCGTAATGATGGTCTTTAAAATTACCTATATAAAAAAAGTGTTCTCAACAATTCTTTTTTCCTACAGAAAATATAGGGGCCTGAATGCCAAGCTTGGAAGCCCAGGAGAGTGGAGTGAACTGTGTGCGGGGCAGGAGGGCTGTCCACTTTCGTAAAGGCCGGTAGCCACGCTGTGACTCCGGGCGTCAGGTCCCTGCCTTTCCACCCTTGCCCGTTTCCCCAAGTCCAACAGCTAACCTGCCTTCCTCCTACTGAAAGTCAGCCCCATGGGCTCCCATGTGCAAGGAGTCCATAATGCCTTGTTGGGGAGGTGGCCTGGCCCGGGGACAGCAATGCTCACGGCCGGGAGGAGCAGCAGCAGCTGTGGGGAAGCCATGTCTGCCCTGCTTGCTTCTAATGTCTAGTTAGTAGCTATTAATAGAGCGGGCACTAGTGATGCAGGAATAACTGTATAGTTATCACAGAGGAATGTGTACAGCCTTGGCCCCGGCAGGAGAGGAAGCGCACGCAGCCCCAGGGTGCAGACTGTCAGGCACCTGCTGTTTGGCCAGGAGTTGGAAAGGAGCAGTCTGCATCAAGGAGCCTAAAGACATGAACTCAAGTCCCCAGCCCGGGACGCACAAAATCAGCAGCAATGGGCTCCCCAGCCTACCACACCCACCGGCTGTGCGCTCCTTCTCGGAGTAAAGTGAGCGTCGGCCTCACAGCTCAGAAGCACAGCTGTACCAGCAGTGAATGTATCTAGGGCTGTAGCTGACGACACAGGCTAATGCCGCCAACAGGAAGCCAGTCAGTGCTACAGTCTGACTTACAGTCAATAGAAACCAGCTATTATTCTTATTAAGACACGCACCATGTCAGAAGCACTACGAGTCCTCTAGCCTCAGCGCTAGCCTCACAAACTGCAGTGTTCAGAGAGGGTAAATGCCCATAGTCGGGGGGAGTCTGCAGTCCAGTTGTGAGCACCTCAAGACTAGAGAGAAAGACCTAGAACCTGCTAGAGACCTTCCAAGTTCAGCGGCAATGCGAGCACACACACGGTCACAAGTGTCCCCTAGCAGTCTGCCCTCGCGCTGGCATCTCAGACAGCTGCCCGACAGGCAGCCCTGCCCTCGCTCCATAGTGCAAATCGGGACAGTTCTGTCCAGGCAGACACATGCACACACAGACTGAGCCCGGGCCCCAGGTGGAAGCCAAGCCGTGCATGCTCGGTCTCAAAAGCTAAGAGCACAAAGCGTCCGGATCCCCGTGTCTTCATGGCTTGTGACTAAGAAAGGGCCGCAGGGTCCCGGCTGCCGGGTGGCAGACCTGCAGAGGTTTCTTTGGTAACCAGGGCAGGAAGCAAGGATGCTCCGCTGGACCGATGCTCCGTGCTGTTCCTGTTGCCATGTTGAGACCCCTTGTATGAACACCAAGCAAGTACAAAAACAGAGCAGAACAAAAGTCCAGACAACATGGTTTTGCGGATAAACCACCCTCCCACCCTCCCCCCGAGATTTTTTTTTTCTGTTTTTTTTTTTTTGTTTGTTTTGTTTTTTCCCCCTTAAGCACTGACTGTTCAAAGCTCAGGCAAACCATGCAGATCCCTGTGTGGCTGGAGGGCAGAGCCCCCTTCAGGAGACCACAGAGGGGGAGTGACTATGGCTGACCATGTGGGCCGTGGGGCTAGCTGGCTGGCCCCGGCGTGAGGCCGACTCTGGGCTGCTGGAAGCGCTGTCCTTGGCCGCTTTGATCTGAAGCCACGTGTCACCTAGTGCTTTGGCAAAGTGGTCGTCCACAGAGCCAGTGATGGACACCGAGTTGGGTGCCGGCTCTGGTTCCTTGTAGTTCTTGCCCAGGCTCCGGCGGAAGTGCTCTTCCACCACAGGATCACAGGTTGCAGTTGCTGCAAAGGACGGACCAGGAGAGAGGTGGCTGCGTCAGGGGCACTTAACCACACTGGGTTCGAGCGTGGATCCCAAGTGTCTTTATGGCACTCACTAACAACGGTGGGGCCTGTCTTCCTGTCACTGAAGCCCAGAGGGGCCAGGGACCAAATGTTCTTATCCCTTTCCACCCAAACCATGGCCAATTCAAGGTACACGTGTGCTCAAAACCAGTGTCTTTAAACTCAACGCTAAGTGAATTTCAGGGAGAGGTTGACCCAGGGTTCCCACATGCTGTAACAGGCTACGGTGGGTGGGAAACTCACCACTGGGCGGTCTCCGGTAACTGGCAGACCCGGGTGCCGAACAGCCACTGTGTGCAACAGGGCAGTGAGAGAGGTTACAGTTGCGGGCGCCTGCAGACGCGCAGGTGATCACGGAGGGCCGGTTCTGTAGGAGGGAGGACAGCGCAGCTCCTGCATCCACTGATGGGCTGAGCAGCTGCGGCCCGAGGGCCCAGCTCCTCTTGACAGGGACCTCCCTACACTCAGTTGCTCCTGGAACCTACTGTGTTACAACAGCAGGTCCAGAGGGGGAGACTAGACGTGTTGGGGTGCCCCCGCCCCTCCCCCGCCCCTGCGGGTGAGCCCCTGACATACAGCATCTCCTCGGGGCCAGTGAGTGTGTCCAGTGAGTGGAAACTGGGAACCAGGCCCACCGCGGGTCACACAGAACTGCCCGCAGTCTCGATGCTGTTAAAGCCTCTTCATACGGTTCCTGTCAGAAACCTCACCCTTTTGTTGTCCCTGGAGCCTGCTGTGTGTGGCGCTAAGGCAAGCAAGTGTTCATGTCCTCAGCATCCTCTACCTGCCTGCTCTTTGGGAGGCGAGGTCTTATGAAGTTGCCTTGAGCTTGTAATCCTCCTGCCTCAGTCTCCCAAGTAGCTAAGATTATAAGCTTGAAACACCAGATCTGGCCTTGTTTTTTAAAAAGCAATCATCTTGCCAGGTGGTAGTGTCGCACGCCTTTAATCCCAACACTCTTGAGGCAGGCAGATCTATGTGAGTTCAAGGCCAGCCTGGTCTACAGAGCCAGTTCCAGGACAGCCAAGGCTACACAGAAAAAAACCTGTCTTGAATCACCCCCCCCCAAAAAATTTATTTTCCTTTAATAACAATAAAAAGAGCCTGTGTCTTAATGACAGGTTCGTGACCACTGACTTTATAAGATGCAAGCCCAAAACAAAGCCACTGACATTTAACTTTGTGAAATCACACGGAGTCAGCACAGGCCTCTCGGGAGGGTTACTACACTGATCCTGAGGAACAGAGTGCCAGGGAACATTGGGGGAGGGACACGTGGAGGGGCCTTGCTCACCAACTCCAACCCTGTACTGTGCAAAGCAGTGAAGCCTCAGGACTGGTGGAACCGAGGCCCCTTCAACTTCCGGACTTCCGCTCGAGGTTCCCATGCAGCTCTTGGTCTCCACACCCCACCCGACCTGGTCACCTCGGGAACGAGAACTGAAAGCCAGCGACTTGGCATCCCACACACACCTGCTGCCGCTCCACAGCCGACCTGCCTGCGTCACCGCTGTTCTTCGTCAGTGCAAGAGGCTGCTCCATGAGGCCAGGGAGGGATGCATACAGGTGGCCGCCATGCAAGCTCACAGCGGGGGCTGCAGCCCGCTCAATGGGACTGCGGCTCCGTTCCCTGGGATCTCTGCCGCGGCAGTCTCCGTTGACAGTCTTATTCCTGAAAGACAGGGGCATGCTCAGAGGGGGATGACTGGTAAGGAGCCATGCACTTCCCCCAGATGTTTCCATGACATTCCTACCCTGATGC